CTATAAATTTAATCAATTTACAAGAAAAGTTGTTGCGACCGGACCATTTCATTGGACTCTATTTGGAGTACCATGCCCCAGCGAGGATTTGTTACATCAACTAAAAACTCTGTTATCTAAACTTGTATCTGTATATCATTAAAAAATACATTTTTCAGAAAGCTATGTTTATTTCGTATTCAGCCTGTTGTCAAACAAAAAAAAAACAGTCGGTTCCTTCGACTCCCCACCCCCCCACCATCATTCTACTACATAAAGTTTCATTTTGAACGGTATCATCCTGTATAATAATAACAGTACATCGTATACAGGTTATGAGACATTCTGACCGACCGACCGACCAGAGGAGCCCACCACGCTATTTAGGTCACGCCTTGCTATATACGATTTAACGATATACCGTCGGTCCATCGATCCGCTATTTTTCGATGCACCCCTGTATACACGTTCTGAATGCCCCCCGTAATCCACGCCAACACCAGACAGGTGCGACATCGGCGCCATCTATGCGCGAGATGCCCAACCCATCAATGGCAGCTGTCCAATGACACATAGATTCCGTTTGGTTTGTACAGCGCCAAACAAATCGGCGCCATCTATGCGCGAGATGCCCAACCCATCAATGACAGGTGTCCAATGACGTATAACAGATGACGTTTTAACGCCATCTATGCGTGAGATGCCCAATGACGCATGACAGGTGTCCAATGACACACAGATTCCGTTTGGTTTGACAGCGCCATCTAGCGGCGGAATCCCCAACTCATGAATACAGATTCCGTCCAACAACCTGTCAATGGCGCGCGACGCCAGCGCCTCTGGTGGCGGATTTTGGAAGTTTTGAGACCGAATCCCCATAAGACATCTACTTAGAGCATTACGTCGTGCAATCATCAAGTGGCTTCACGACGTAATGCTCTAATGTTTTTTAAATAATTTTTAATCTGTTTTTAACTTGTCTTGTCATATTTTATATAATTTTGACCATTGTACCATGTATCCAGCTCTCACCATGTTACTGGTCGTTTCCCTCATCCTATACGTAAACAACAATTAGCAACATCCTCACATACTACTCTCCTGATGATGACGGCAAAGTCCATTGAAAGCTAGAGAGAATTAAAAAAAAGTATAAAGAGTCCTCTTTGCTTAAATTTTGTCGAAGTACCCAACAAAAGGCGGAAGCTTTAATTTTTCACCTATAATATATATATATATATATATAGTATTCATAGTTAATTGCGTGAACTGTTAGGAGAATATCCTTTAATTTCTTTGGCAAAGTATTGCAAAAGTACACTCTTATAACTTAAGCCCTAGCTTTCTAAGATCTATGTCTTCATCGTCTGGAGCTGGAAACGATTATTAACCATAGCAACAAATAACAATTAGGAGGAAAAATAGTTACTTACTAAGTCGTCGAGATTGTTGCTGAAATTGTTTTTGAGCAACAGTGAAGGGAACACATAGTCGACGAATAAAAAACTAGACTGATGAGGTTCGATTAGGACGGAATTATTTATTGAAATGAAAACATTTTTTCAAAATTACAAATTCTGCAAAATAAAGCTATGAGGATTAAGTCTATTTTAGAAGAACTACAGTGGTTGAATGTAAAGAATTCCATATGTTACTTAGTTTTCATTTCATATTCAAATTAAAAAATCATTTATTACCACCACATTTAAAAAAAATCACAAAATTAAATAGTCATTTCATAACTACGAAACTAGAGGCAGTATAGATTTTCATCTGCAAAATTGTAGTTGTAGCATAACTAGCAAATCTGTATTTCAAAAGGGAGTATTTGAATATAATAAATTGAATAATCATATTAAACAGTGTTGGAATTTAAAAACGTTTAAGGTGAAATTAAAAAATCACTTTATGAATACCTACTCAAAATGCATTGTGATGTGATTTTAATAGAGAAGAATGTAAAATTACAGAAAATGGTTTACAAAAATGTATAAACGAATAATTATACAAAATTGACATTGTAACTTTAATGCTAAACAAATCTTAAAAAATAAGTTCCAACTTTCAGAATACCCTGTGACTATATGCGTTACATTATGATGTATTTTACGTAATATATTTTTTTGTAGTTCATCGCATAATATCCGCATGATTTTTAATTACGTGATCATCAAATGTCGATTTGCAATCAAATGTCACATTACAGCATTCGTAGATATCACAACTCGACGTATTGAAACGATCGAGAGATTTTTTCAATTTGTTCACAGAAGCGGTAAGCTGGGGATGCTTCTCTGAAGTGTGGTTGTCTATGTATTCTTTTCTTGGAAATGACGAATCACATTTCATCATATGCTTAGTCAAATTCTTCTTAAGTGTAGTTTTATATTCACAATGTGTACATTTATGTATCTTACTAGATACAGAAGCAGCAAGCTGAGGATGTTTCTGTACAATGTGGTTGTCTAACGATAATTTGGTTGTAAATGACGCATCACACTTTGTACAGTTGCGCTTAGCTCCAGTGTGTTTCATCATATGTATACGAAAATGCATCCCCAATGTCGTTTTATATTCACAATGTATGCATTCATGAATCTTGCTAGTTACAGAAGCAATCAATTCCGGATGCTTCTTTAAAATGTGGTTGTCTAGGGATTGTTTATTTGTAGATGACGCATCGCACATTGTACATGTGAGCCTAGCTCCAGTATGTTTCATCATATGTATGATAAATTGCGACTTTTGTAGAGATTTATATTCGCAATATGTACATTTATGTATCTTACGAGATACAGAAGTAGTACACTCTGGATGTTTCTGCAAAATGTGGTTATCTAACGAATGTTTCGTAATAAATGAGACATCACACTTTGTACACAGGAATTTAGCTCCAGTATGTTTCATCATATGACGAGATAGACTGCTCGCGTATGTAGTTTTATATTCACAATGTATACATTCATGTATCTTATCAGGTACAGAAGCACTCAACTCTGGATGCTTCTGTAAAATGTGGTTGTATAGTGATATTTTCTTTATAAATGACGCATCACACTTTGTACACGTCAGCTTAGCTCCAGTATGCTTCATCATATGAGTAGCAAGCTCGCGTAAGTACGTAGTTTTATATTCACAATGTGTACATTCATGTATCTTCCTAAATACAGAAGCAGCAAACTTCTGATGTTCTCGCAGAATGTGATTATCTAAAGACTGTTGGCTTGTAAATGAGGCATCACAGTTTGTACATGTCAACTTAGCTCCAGTATGTTTCATTATGTGCCTAGCTAAATACCGCGCTTTTGTAGTTTTATATTCACAATGTGTACATTGATGTATCTTATGAGATACAGAAGCACTTAACTCTGGATGCTTCCGTAAAATGTGGTTGTATAGTAATATTTTATTTATAAATGACGCATTACACTTTGAACACGTGCGCTTAGTTCCAGTATGCTTCATCATATGACTAGCAAACGCGTGTGTGTGCGTGGTTTTATATTCACAATGTGTACATTCATGTATTTTAGTAGATACAGAAGCAGTATGCTTCTGATGTTTTCGCAGAATGTGATTATCTAAAGATTGTTGGCTTGTAAATGACGCTTCACACTTTGTACACGTCAGCTTAGCTCCAGTATGTTTCATGATATGCCCAGCCAAACTCTTCCTGTCTGTAGTTTTATATTCACAATGTGTACATTCATGTATCTTATGAGATACAGAAGCACTCAACTCTGGATGCTTCTGTAAAATGTGGTTGTCTAACGATCGTTTCTCTGTAAATGACGCATCACACTTTGTACACGTGCACTTAGCTCCAGTATGTTTCAACATATGCCTAACTAAATGCTCCTTATATGCAGTTTTATATTCACAATTTGTACATTCAAGTATTTTATTAGACTCGGATGCGCCAAATTTGGGATGTTTCTGCGAAATGTGATTTTCTAATCGTAGTTTAGTATTAAACGAAGCGTCACAGTTTATACACTTGAAAGTCGTTTGATTATTATGTTTTGCCATGTGCCTTATAAAATTACTCCTACGGATTCCTTTGTGTGCACAATGCATACATTCATATATCTTATTAGAAATTGACCCGATAAAGTTTGGATGTATTCTTAAAATATGGTCAAACAGCGATTGCGTTGATTTAAATGACGTATTACAATGTTTGCATACGAACAGTTTAATAGTATGTCTTAGCATATGACTGGGTAAATGCTTTTTATAAGCTGTTTTAAAATCACAGAATGTGCATTCATGTATTTTAGATGAAACTGACTCAATATATCTTACATGATTGTTAACCAAATGTTTGTTTAGTGATGTTTTGCTTTTGAACACCTCATTACATTTGATACAACAATACTGATACTGTTTTTTGGATACAGATCGTGATTTTCCCAAACTAGATCCTAAATAACAATTGTCCCTTTTGATATGGCAGATCAAACCCTTTTCACAATGGCTCGTATAGTTACAAATATGGCGGCTGAACGACTTTTTTCCTTCTTCGATCGGTGAATTTCCCAGTTCCTTTTTCCGATTTTTCTTTATTTGTGCGCTGAAAAAAAGTTTCATTATAGTTTACTTTTTTGCCATTGATAAAGGGGATCGATTCAGAGTTCCGTATGACTATATGCCGATGAACGTGACCATTATCAGTATTTTACGCGATGTTTTTTTCCAGTTCATCGAATGATATCCGCATGATTTTTTATTACGTGATCATCAAATGTCGATCTGCAATCAAATGTCACATTACAGCATTCGTAGATATCACAACTCGACGTATTGAAACTGCTCACAGAAGCGGTAAGCTGGGGATGCTTCTCTGAAGTGTGGTTGTCTATGTATTCTTTTCTTGGAAATGACGCATCACATTTCATCATATGCTTAGTCAAATTCTTCTTAAGTGTAGTTTTATATTCACAATGTGTACATTTATGTATCTTACTAGATACAGAAGCAGTAAGCTGAGGATGTTTCTGTACAATATGGTTGTGTAACGATCGTTTGGTTGTAAATGTCGCATCACACTTTGTACAGTTGCGCTTAGCTCCAGTGTGTTTCATCGTATGTATGATAAATTGCGGCTTATGTAGAGATTTATATTCGCAATGTGTACATTTATGTATCTTACGAGATACAGAAGAAGTAAACTCTGGATGTTTCTGCAAAATGTGGTTATCTAACGAAAGTTTCCTAATAAATGACGCATCACACTCTGTACACGTCAGCTTAACTCCAGTATGTTTCAGTATATGCTCAGCTAAATACTGCGCTTTTGTAGTTTTATATTCACAATGTGTACATTCGTATATCTTATGAGATACAGAAGCACTTAACTCTGGATGCTTCCGTAAAATGTGGTCGTGTAGTGATATTTTCATTATAAATGACGCATAACACTTTGTACACGTCACCTTAGTTCCAGTGTGCTTCATCATATGACTAGCAAGGTGGTGCGAGTGCGCGGTTTTATATTCACAATGTGTACATTCGTGTATCTTATGAGATACAGAAGCACTTAACTCTGGATGCTTCCGTAAAATGTGGTTGTGTAGTGATATTTTCTTTATAAATGACGCATCACACTTTGTACACGTCAGCCTAACTCCAGTATGTTTTATTATATGCTCAGCTAAATACTGCGCTTTTGTAGTTTTATATTCACAATGTGTACATTTATGTATCTTATCAGATACAGAAGCACCCAACTCTGGATGCTTCTGTAAAATGTGGTTGTCTAACGATCGTTCCTCTGTAAATGACGCATCACACTTTGTACACGTGCACTTAGCTCCAGTATGTTTCAACATATGCCTAACTAAATGCTCCTTATATGCAGTTTTATATTCACAATTTGTACATTCAAGTATTTTATTAGACTCGGATGCGCCAAATTTGGGATGTTTCTGCGAAATGTGATTTTCTAATCGTAGTTTAGTATTAAACGAAGCGTCACAGTTTATACACTTGAAAGTCGTTGGACTAGCATGTTTTGCCATATGCTTTATAAACCTACTCCTACGGATTCCTTTGTGTGCACAATGCATACATTCATATATCTTACTAGAAATTGACCCGATAAAGTTTGGATGTATTCTTAAAATATGATCAAACAGCGATTGTTTTGATTTAAATGACGTATTACAATGTTTGCATATGATCAGTTTAATAGTATGTCTTAGCATATGCCTGGATAAATGCTTTTTATAAGCGGTTTTAAAATCACAGAATGTGCATTCATGTATTTTAGATGAAACTGACTCAATATATCTTACATGATTGTTAACCAAATGTTTGTTTAGTGATGTTTTGCTTTTGAACACCTCATTACATTTGATACAACAATACTGATACTGTTTTTTGGATACAGATCGTGATTTTCCCAAACTAGATCCTAAATAACAATTGTCCCTTTTGATATGGCAGATCAAACCCTTTTCACAATGGCTCGTATAGTTACAAATATGGCGGCTGAACGACTTTTTTCCTTCTTCGATCGGTGAATTTCCCAGTTCCTTTTCCCGATTTTTCTTTATTTGTGCGCTGAAAAAAAGTTTCATTATAGTTTACTTTTTTGCCATTGATAAAGGGGATCGATTCAGAGTTCCGTATGACTATATGCCGATGAACGTGACCATTATCAGTATTTTACGCGATGTTTTTTTCCAGTTCATCGAATGATATCCGCATGATTTTTTATTACGTGATCATCAAATGTCGATCTGCAATCAAATGTCACATTACAGCATTCGTAGATATCACAACTCGACGTATCGAAACTGCTCACAGAAGCGGTAAGCTGGGGATGCTTCTCTGAAGTGTGGTTGTCTATGTATTCTTTTCTTGGAAATGACGCATCACATTTCATCATATGCTTAGTCAAATTCTTCTTAAGTGTAGTTTTATATTCACAATGTGTACATTTATGTATCTTACTAGATACAGAAGCAGTAAGCTGAGGATGTTTCTGTACAATATGGTTGTGTAACGATCGTTTGGTTGTAAATGTCGCATCACACTTTGTACAGTTGCGCTTAGCTCCAGTGTGTTTCATCGTATGTATGATAAATTGCGGCTTATGTAGAGATTTATATTCGCAATGTGTACATTTATGTATCTTACGAGATACAGAAGAAGTAAACTCTGGATGTTTCTGCAAAATGTGGTTATCTAACGAAAGTTTCCTAATAAATGACGCATCACACTTTGTACACGTCAGCTTAACTCCAGTATGTTTCAGTATATGCTCAGCTAAATACTGCGCTTTTGTAGTTTTATATTCACAATGTGTACATTCGTATATCTTATGAGATACAGAAGCACTTAACTCTGGATGCTTCCGTAAAATGTGGTCGTGTAGTGATATTTTCATTATAAATGACGCATAACACTTTGTACACGTCACCTTAGTTCCAGTGTGCTTCATCATATGACTAGCAAGGTGGTGCGAGTGCGCGGTTTTATATTCACAATGTGTACATTCGTGTATCTTATGAGATACAGAAGCACTTAACTCTGGATGCTTCCGTAAAATGTGGTTGTGTAGTGATATTTTCTTTATAAATGACGCATCACACTTTGTACACGTCAGCCTAACTCCAGTATGTTTCATTATATGCTCAGCTAAATACTGCGCTTTTGTAGTTTTATATTCACAATGTGTACATTTATGTATCTTATCAGATACAGAAGCACTTAACTCTGGATGCTTCTGTAAAATGTGGTTGTCTAACGATCGTTCCTCTGTAAATGACGCATCACACTTTGTACACGTGCACTTAGCTCCAGTATGTTTCAACATATGCCTAACTAAATGCTCCTTATATGCAGTTTTATATTCACAATGTGTACATTCACGTATTTTACTAGACTCGGATGCGCCAAATTTGGGATGTTTCTGCGAAATGTGATTTTCTAATCGTAGTTTAGTATTAAACGAAGCGTCACAGTTTATACACTTGAAAGTCGTTTGACTATTATGTTTTGCCATATGCTTTATAAACCTACTCCTACGGATTCCTTTGTGTGCACAATGCATACATTCATATATCTTACTAGAAATTGACCCGATAAAGTTTGGATGTATTCTTAAAATATGATCAAACAGCGATTGTTTTGATTTAAATGACGTATTACAATGTTTGCATATGATCAGTTTAATAGTATGTCTTAGCATATGCCTGGATAAATGCTTTTTATAAGCGGTTTTAAAATCACAGAATGTGCATTTATGTATTTTAGATGAAACTGACGCAATAGATCCTGCATGATTTTTAACCAAATGGTTATCTAGTGATGCTTTGCTTTTGAACACCTTATTACATTTGATACAATACTGATACTGTTTTTTGGATACAGATCGTGATTTTCCCAAACTAGATTCTAAATAGCAATTTTTCCTTTTGATATGACAGATCAAACCCTTTTTACAATCGCTCGTATAGTTACAAATATGGCAGCTAAACGACTGTTTCCCTTCTTCAGCCGGCGGATTTCTTAGTTTCGTTTCCCGCTTTTTCCTTATTTGTGCGCTGAAAAAAAGTTCCATTATAGTTTACGTTTTTTAATTGATAAAGATGATCGATTTACAGTTTTGTATTGCGCGGCAAAGTCTGAAGTTTGCATTGAACGTTGTTCCTATAAATACATGATCCTTTCAAGGAAGTTATTGATTTGTATATCATGATTAAATATCATCACTTGATATAGGTGTATATCCGATACGTTCGATGATTTTATTTATTTGGTTAGAATTAGAAATGTTCTATCCTAAACGTCGGTAAATTGTCATTGTATCGATTTTTTCCTGCTGTGTTGATAGTAGCTAAAAGTGATGTGCCAAAAACAAAGCTTTCAACTTACAAATGCATCGCAGAACGCTAAAGTGGTACGTACTCCTAATATCCAAATATTGCTAAAATATATAAATATTTCTCCTAAGCGATGTGTCTGTGATGACCACTTGAATCTATTACCGATTTTACAGTCGGCAATGGCCTCCAAGACGATGCAGCATCGTGCCGTGTTAAATTACACTGATAAACACAGGATTTGTGACATGACAATTTTTGGGTGTATCTTATGTATTGTGAGACCCTTAAATCAAATCTAAAAACATATTTTTTCTATTTGGTAATATTTACTTTTATGAATTACAATATGTAACATCTCATATTGCTGTATTTCTCGGCGTTTATGCGATGACGCACATATATAATGTTAAGACCTGTCTATTCCTGTTTATTATATGCGAGCTCTATGTTTAGAGAACATATTAGTAGACTAATAGCAGCCGAGTCAGTAACGTTTTCTGTGTTGAAGAGTCTGAGATGTTCTGAGTACTGTTAATTTATGTTAAAACGGTGTGTTGTTTTTAGTTTATTGTGATCAATACTTGCTTTATGGACAATGCCCAAAGATTGTGCAAACAGAGCGAACAGTTTTTTTTATGTGTGCAGAGAGCTAACTTTTGAATCCCAAAAACGTACTTTTACTCTCCTGGTGTTGAAAGCATATGAACTTTATTTTGGAATTAAAGTTGGCGACCAAGATAGTAGATAGTCTAAGCGGTTTCGGTCTCACCAGTTTTTAAATCGATCGCTAGATGGCGCTGCACAAGCCAAACGAAATCTAAATGTCATTGATGAGTTGGCGGTCTCACCGCTAGATGGTGCTGCGTTCCATTCCGACGTGTGTGGTTCAAACAGGATTGGGTGACCGCCCACACAGCCAGAGCAACGATCAACTATTTCATTCTCTCTTCCGTGGTCGCTTTGTTTACAGGTTTGACGATGTTCGTTGGCCTCCTCGCTCCCCAGATTTATCCATCTGCGATTTTTTCCTATATGGACACCTCAAGGCTCGAGTATACGAGCACAAGCCCCGCACTCTGAAAGAGTTGAAGAGTCTTCGCGAACTTTCAAGAACGCTTCCACACTTGATTGCGAACCCGAATCCGTCAATAAATTTATTTTTGAGTAAAAATTACCGATTTTGTGATTTTTTAAAAACCGTCTGATCTTTGTGTAGATTAGAACATTTGTGTGGCGTGACGAGAACACGCCCTAAACAGTCCATAAGAGTTTCTCTTTCTTATATATGGGGGCTGCCGTAGGCCATTTGGGTAGCAGTGACGTTAAGGCTAGCAAGTCAACCCCTTTCCTTTGTAAACTGTAAAAGTAGACTCACCTATCGGTCGGCGAGTTATGGTCGTCACTTTGGTCGCTCTCAGTTTTGATGTCAAACTCTTCATGCAGCCCCACTGCGTCCATATTTTCAAAATCTGTGCTGCTTAAATCTGGTTTTTCTTCCATCTTTTCAGATTCTTGGAACCCCAGCTTCCTCTGTTCAACAGAATCTGCTGTCGAGTCAGGTTCAATCCCCGATTCTATTTTCTCTTCTTTAACTCTAAAACGGTAATAAAGAGGGCGGTCAATTTACAGTGCTCCCCTTCCCACTTATTTTTCGAATGGGATGATGATGTACACGCACGGATACCATATAGAAACATTTTTTCAAAGAGCATTAATGCCATTTGGCAGGGGGATTACGTACGCTATGCTCAAGCTATCTCAATGTATTATGCTATACTCAGGCTATGCTCAATCTAGCTATACTCAAACTATCTTAAGCCATGCTCAAGCTAAGCTTTGCAATACACAAAATATATAGCTCAAGATATGCCAAACTAGCTATGCTCAAACTATACCCAAGCTATGCTCAAGATATGCGCGTGCTAGCTCAAGCTATACCCAAACTATGCTCAGGCTATGCTCAATTTATTTCAAGCTCAAACCATCTCAAGGTATACTCAAGCTATCCTCTGACTATGCTAAAGCTATCTCAAGCTATGCACAAGCTAAGCTTAAGCGATACTCAAGGTAAGCGCATGCTATGCTCAAGCTATCTCAAACTATTCTCAAGCTATGCTCGATCTAGCTAAACTCAAGCTATCTCAATCTAGGCTTTGCAATACTCAAGCTAGACTGAAGCTATGCTCAAGCTATGCTCATGCTGTCTCAAGCAATGCTCATGCTGTCTCAAGCAATGCTCATGCTGTATCAAGCAATGCTCAAGCTGAGAGAATAAGCAATATTCAAGCTATCTCAAATTATGCTCAACTATCACAAGCTATACTCAAACTATGCTCAAGTTATTTCAAGCTATGCTCAATCGATGCTCAAACTATCTCAAGGTTATACTCAAGCTATCACAAGCTATGCTCAACCCAGCTATACTGAAGCTACTTCAAGCTATGTACAAGCTAAGGGTAAGCATTACTCATGCTATGCTCAAACTATCTTAAACTACTGTCATGCTATACTCATGTTATCCCAAGCCATGCTCAATCTAGCGATATACTCAAACTATGCTCAAGCTAGGCTTCACGATACTCAAGCTAAGCCAAACTAACAATACTCAAGCTATGCTCAAGATATGCTGATGCTATCTCAAGCCATGCCCAAGCTATATCAAGCTATACTCAAGCTACCTCAAGCAATGCTCAGGCTTAAGCAATACTCAAATTATGCTCAATATGTCTCAAAATATGTTCAAGCTATAACAAACTACACTCAAGCTATGCTCAAGTTATTTCAAGCTAAGCTCAAGTGATGCTCGAACTATCTCAAGCTATCACATCTTATGCTCAAGCTAGCTATACTCTATCACAAGCTATGCTCAAGCTATTTCAAGCCATGCTCAAGCTATCTCAAACTCTATATGTTCAAGCTAGAGTTTTAATTCATTGTGGCCAACTTAGGATTTTACCCAGGACAATGCCACTCTGTATCTGTTTAATTTGTTAAATAGCATGTTATGATTTGAGCAGTCATATGCTTCAGAAGGCCATTCAAAAGGGTCGCCCTCCTCACTTATTTTTTGGAAAGGATGATGAGGTTTTTATGCATAAATCCTACATTTTAGCATAGAATGTTGAAATCTTCAACATACCTCGAGCATTTTTGTTAAAAAAACATGGGACACCATGATGATATCTTATTTTGAAGCTTACCCTAAACAATAACTTGAAAAAAGTTTATTTATAACCTTTTTGAAAACTACTGTATAGTTGAATGTTTTGTTTCTATGGTATCATTAGAACATATATGACATAGGTACAAAGCATAACGAAACCTACCTGTCCCATATTAAATGACATACAGGATCTTCATTATATTCAGATTTGATGTTAAGCTGTTCATTCAGTATCATCGTGTCCATGTTTTCAATCTTCAGGTCGTCCACGGTTGGTTCTGTATCTGGTTTTTCAGATTTAACCTCAACTACTAACTGATTCTTCATTTTCACCTGGTTAACACCAATCCAGTGTTCATTTTTCTGCATACTACAATAATGGTTTTTCAAAGTTATTATCCTGTTTGATGATATTAGTTTCCTCAATTTAGATGCTACAACTAATCGTATTGTGGAAAGATCCAAGATATCACTTTGTTAAGGATATGGCGATAACTGAAATTTGAGACTAGAAAATGGGTCACCATCAAATTAATCTCAGATTAGGAATGTATGGAATGGAATGGTTTTACTTTGAGAGTACACATTTTTATATGACTTATAACTCAATAAAATAGGAAACCTACAACCTGGGTTCACACGTTTTACAGAACCTTTAAGTCCAATGAAGAGATAAGTGGAATTATATATGACTCCAAATCATACCTATCGTAATCTTCCGATTTTCTGCAAGGCTTATCATCAGTTTTTGGCTCCATAGTAAATATTGAATTGCTTGCCTAACCTCTAAAGAATTTCCAAATCAATTAAAAAAGCGAGGCAACAAGAAATAAAATAATCGTCTCAAAGATTATTCACACAAAGACCACGAATCTACAAACCCGGATTTGTGTTAAATAATCAAACGCAACGAACAACTCAACCACAAAACAAGCACATTTATCAAACGGGAAACGGAGGCTTAAGCTTAACCCACAAGCTAAGTCATAAGTGACATCTGCTGGGGCAATAGATAAGTAACTACTTTTCATACAGATTTTAGTATTAAAGTTACATATATTTTCTTAAATTACTCACAGATATGGCTAAATGTAATTTTGGAGTGACCTGAGATTATTATTTCTCGATACGAAACGAGTCGAAGCAGATATATAAGGCGTATTCTTTAATTCACCGGTTGAGTCACCGGTGCAACCAATTAACCAATTTTACTTCTTTTAATTTTCATCTGAGCGACCGGTTGTACACCAAACTTGTCTATATAGTTTATAGACTCAACCGGTGAATTAAAGAATACGCCTTATATTTTGACTCGTTTCGTATCGAAAAAAGGAAAATGACCATTTAGCGGCATCTAGGAATTTTAAGTCAAACCAATGGTATGCAAGTCCAATTTTCTCCCGCTGGGCAGCGCTTGTGTGATTGTGATCAAAACTGTCAAACGTAGATTGTGGAAAAAGAAAAACAATACAGAAAAGTAGAAAAGTGATGCTTTTATTTACTGTTACTTTTCATTTTTCAACGTCGCGCCGATTATTTTTAAATTTGAGAACATTGTTTACAATCTTTGAGAGAGTTATTTTATTCAATATTAAGCGAACAGCAGCCTATATCCAGTATTATATGAAGCCAAAGACTGATTTCGAACGGATAAGGCTTTTAAGAGGTCAGAACAAACTTATTCTGACTACGTAGCAGACAGAGACAAACCCTTCTAGTAGCAGATTAGGATAGGTATGAATACCAGTCATGTCGCGACATTGTCATTTGTCTTTGAAGCTTGCCAGCAGGGCTATTATGCGAAAAACCTACAAATAGTTCATTCCACTTTTGCTCGCTATGATCGCTTTTAGCTGACGTTTAAGCAACACGTACAGCATAAAACGAATTCACAAGTGTACAACATGTGCTGTCTTAGGCCCGTATCGTCAGTCGTCCCTACAATTGTAGGGCGCCTTTATGGCCTCCTTGATTGTCATAGTTTTCTACTTCTTCGTGTCAGCGCTCTATTTTGAGGTTATGTCACAAACATCTATTTGCATCAAATTGTGCTTGCTTTTGAGTTATATCATGTTTTATCAGCCTGAAATTTCCTACAATTTAAAAGGAAAACATATCTTAACAATAGGAGAGCGCTGACGCTGACACGGGACGAGTGTAATCTAGAAATTTTTGAAGGAGAGAAAAGAGTATGACAATCAAGGAGGCCATAAACGCACCCTACAATTTTAGGGCGCCTTTATGGCCTCCTTGATTGTCATAGTTTTCTACTTCTGCGTGTCAGCGCTCTATTTTGAGGTTATGTCACAAACATCTATTTGCATCAAATTGTTCTTGCTTTTGAGTTATATCATGTTTTATCAGCCTGAAATTTCCTACAATTTAAAAAGAAAACATATCTTCACAATAGGAGAGCGCTGACGCTGATACGGGACAAGTGTAATCTAGAAATTTTTGAAGGAGAGAAAGAAGTATGAAAATCAAGGAGGCCATAAACGCGCCCTACAATTGTAGGGACGGCTGACGATACGGCCCTTAGAAAAACCTACGTTATGTCACAAAACACCTACGAAATGTCAAAAAAAAATATTTTACTTTTCAAGTTATGTAATACCCGTTCCGGAATATTATTCAAAAACATCGACACGCAAAACAAAATACAAAAAAAAAATATTTACAGTTTTTATTTTTCTGAGCGGAAACCCTGCATAGGATTGAAAAAGAAGAAGCAATCAAATTGCTTGGAAACGATTAGGAACTTCAAAAATAATTTTTATTTTAAGACAGATCAGTGGTGTATCAGCAAAGTCTGCTCTACCAAAATAGGTAGGAGAAATTCAGTACCAGCACCACTGGAACTAAAAAAAAAATGGTACATTAAAAAATGCCCGTTTCTTTAAATATTGACATTCAATTATGAAACACCCTGTTGTATGACAATTATTATTTGGTAGAATATAATCGAAATCACGAAATATGACGATTTCGACATCATTTTAGTCTGTAGTAAAGACAAACGACAGCGATTTGTGAATATTTTTAATGAAGTTTCAGATACGTTAGACAGAGATAAACAGAATTTTATTGTCTAAACAAGCTGTATTGCTAATTTCCATGTACATATACGATAAAGATAGACGATATTTTCATGTTGCATGATCGATCATATTTGAAAGATGAATAGTTAGGTTATGTTAAAGCAGGTTATGTTGTTTTCGAATAATACTTTTTTATTTGGTGTTCCTGTCAAGGTATTCTACTCATAACCGTTTTTTTTTTTCATAACAAAAACTCCCCACTATTATTAAGGTATCACTCAAAACCATGAAATAAAATGAAAATAAAAATAATCAGTGAAATAACCTAACTTCGAAAAATCATAATATAAATGTGTTGCCATTATGTTCCTGACATCGTGATTTTATCATCGACGTACGTCCATTGAATACTTCAGTACAATTTATGGTATGGTCATCTTTCGTGATTCTGACTATATACTAATCATTGTCTGAAGTTAACATTGTTTTAGAATCAAAGATGGATTTACTGGTTGAAGTTAAATCCGAAAAATTAGATACAGAACCAACTGTGCCCAGCGCCAAGTGTGAAAATATAGAGACTTTTGTTCTGAATGGAGAATTAGACATTAAATCTGAATATATTGAGGATACAATATCTGATTTAACATGGGATAGGTGGGCCTAATTTTGCTTACCAGAGAAACAAATCAGTCAGTTATACAGTGCTGATCAAAAAGGTCGCCCATATTTATTTTTTGGATGGGTCAAGTTAGCAAGCTGAAATTTGGAATGAAGAAATTGCCAGAGGTGGATCTAAGAACACGTTTTTATTTATTTATTGTTCTTCCTGACATACATATACATGGTGTTCCTTAATAATATGCGAATATTTAAGGGTGTGTATCTACATCAAAAATTATTGTTACTTTGCTTTATAAACTATGGTCCAAAAATATTTCCTTGCAAAAGTTGGGGTGTTGAAGTTTTAGGAAAAAAATGGAAATTAATTAATATTTTCAGAACCGCTTCAGATATTTCACCGATATTTAGTACATAGTGAAAGTTAATAAAGTCGCATATTTTTCAACGCAAAAATAATTTTTAGCTTTAACAGTTGCGTGCGTACGCGGGTATTGACTTAGGTATTTTTTAAGAAAAAATGGTATGCCAATGGTTTTTTGCCAAATAAAAATTATTTTTGAATTCCCCGTTCAATTTAAAACAAATGATCTCTCTTGAATTGTTTTCCCTCGATACGCCATTTCGGAGTAAAAAAATAAAAACCGTTCTATTGTCCGAGAAAATTAATGTAACAATTGAAGAATGCAATTTAGCAATAATATCTAGTTGCTAACATTAATTTTTCATGTAGATTCACACCCTTAAATATTCGCATGTCATTAAGGAACACCCTGTATAGGTATAGAACTTCTCAAAAATCTGATCAAAACAGTATATATATATACTAAGTGACATATAAATCCGAACACCCAGTTTAAATGGTTTTATTTTAATAAAAGTTGGTGAATGTCACTTTATTATTATTCACTCAGTTGCATTACGTGATTATATTCTATTGAGGAAAAAAACACGCAAGACGTGGCCCAACCGTCATTTTGAAATTTCCAAATGCCACGTTAAAATATTGTATTTTGCGTCAACTTCATCATCCCGTTCGAAAAATAAGTAGGAAGGGCGACCTTTTTGAGTCGCTCCGTAAATTAGCCAACATATGTTAAAATGCCCCCTTCAATCAATAATTAGAATCAAAGTTGAAGAGAAATTAGAGCGTGGAATTGAAGCTGACTCGACGGCTGATAATGTTGACCAGATGGAGTTCCAAGAGTCAGTAAAGCTTGAAGAAAAACCACCTATGAGCAGCACAAGTTCTGAAGATATGAACGCATTAGTGCTACATGAAGAAATTGACATCAAAACTGAGAGTGACGAAATCGATGATTTGACGCACGATAGGTGAGTCTCATTTAATCCTCGCACTCTACATGGTATTCTAGGATGATATGTGAATTTCTGATTCATTATCGGCGAAGAATAAGAATCTTTAATCTCTTTTTTTTCAGTGCACAAATAAAGAAAAATTGGGAAAGGAAACACAGATGCTCACAGATGGAAGAAGAAAAAAAATTGTTTAGCCGCTATGTTTGTAACTATACCGATCGGTCTGAAATGGGTTTTAAATGTAACATGGCGTTCAAACACAAAGCGTCGCTAGATGATCATATCGTTAGAAAGCATGCCGAATATATCGGTTCAGTTTCATCTAAAATACATGAATGCACATTTTGTGATTTCAAAACCGTTCATAAAAATAATTTAACCGAGCACATGTCTAAACACACTAATGCAAATGCTTCTAACCTGCACATATGCGAACATTGTAACACGTCCTTTAAAAGAAAGGAATCGCTCTTTGACCATATTCTAAAGAAACATCCTGACTTTATCGAGGCAGTTTCTAATAAGATATATGAATGTGTACATGGTGATTTCAAAACAACCAAAAGGGCCTCTTTTAAAACGCACATGGCAAAACATGATACTCAAAGACCCTTCGAGTGTATAAACTGTGATGCGTCATACAAAGCTAAGCAAACTTTATATCATCACATTGTACAGAAGCATCCCGAGTTAACTGATTCTGTGTCTTGCAAGATATACGAATGTATACAGTGTGAATATAAAACTACATACGCGTCGGAATTAGCTGAGCATGACATGCAACATACTGGAGTTAAGCTTCCATGTATACAGTGTAATGAGTTATTTCCAAGCAAACGATCGTTAGACAACCACGTTTCACGAAAGCATCATGTGTCTTATAATATACATCAGTGTACGCATTGTGAATATAAAACTACACACCCGAGGAATTTAACCAATCATATGATGAAACATACTGGAGCTAAGCTCACGTGTACAAAGTGTGATGCGTCATTTAGAAACAAACAATTGTTAGACGACCACATTTTACAGAAACATCCCGAGTTTACTGCTTCAGTATCTCATAAGATACATAAATGTACACATTGTCAATATAAAACTACATACACAGGGCTTTTAGATAGGCATATGCTGAAACATACTAAGCTTAGGTGTAAAAATTGTGATAAGTCATTCACAAGTCAACGATCTTTAGACAACCACATTTTACAGAAACATCCTGAGTTTACTGCTTCAGTATCTCACAAGATACACGAATGTACACATTGTCAATATAAAACCAGATACAGAAGGCTTTTAGATAGGCATATGATGAAACACACTGGAGCTAAGCTTACCTGTTCAAAGTGCGATGCGTCATTTACAAGTAAACTTTCCTTAGACAATCACATTTTACAGAAACATCCTGAGATTACTACTTCAGTGTCTCGTAAGATACATAACTGTACACGTTGTGAATATAAAACTACAGTCAAGCATTCTCTAGCTAAGCATATCATGAAACATACTGGAGATAAACTCACCTGTACGAAGAGTGATGCGTCGTTTACGAGTAAACTTTCGTTAGACAACCACACTTTACAGAAGCATCCTGAGGTTACTGATTCTCTGTCTCGTAGAGGCATAAATGTACACATTGTCAGTATAAAACTGCATACAGAAGACTTTTGCCTATACACATGACGAAACATACTGGAGCTAAGCTCAAATGTACAAAGTGTGATGCGTCATTTACAACCAAACAATCGTTAGCCAACCACATTTTACAGAAACATCCCGGGCTTCCTGCTTCAGTGTCTCATAAGATACATAAATGTACACATTGTCAATATAAAACTATATACACGAGGTATTTAGATAGACATGTGATGAAACATTCTGCTAAGCTCACGTGTACAAGGTGTGATGCGACATTTACAAGCAAACGATGGTTTGACAATCACATTTTACAGAAACATACCTGCTTAACATTTGAGGAAACATACAGTCGTAGTAATTATTTCTTTTGTGGCAAATTCGTACCTTTGCAGGCAGAATTCAGTTCTTTGAGTTTCTGCTCAGAAAATTTCCCACTGGCGGCCGTCCTGAACATCATAAAAAATCAGTAGAAGTTTTCAATATAGCAACACGCTGCATCCCAATGTTGCCAAAAATTAAACTATCTCTCTACAGTATATTCAGATAAGAGATAGACCGGACATAAACAAGACCACGTGATCATCGAACGCTGTAACATTCGGCAGGGACGTATTAAGAGTCACGCAGTACATATTTTAGATAGTAGATGCTGCTTTGCGTAACTTTGTAGTAAATTAGCACAATTCGATGTGTATACGATTGGTGATGGATATAGGATCATGTGGGGGTGGGGTAAGAAATATATAATGATGTAAATATACATAAGGGTTTCAAAATTTTCGCTTCGATTTCCAGCTTCGGATGCCGCCTGATGTTTGGTGAAATACAGTCGAATATAATCTCAAAATGGCGTTTAAATTAGCCTAAATTAAAAATAATCGTATATCTCTTAAAATTGCTTTTAGAATATTGATTAGTATATTTTTTGATTTCTAGGTAAATATGTAACCAAATTAAAACGTTCAAAACGTAAAAAAATGTGCATGGTTGAACATTGTCAGAAAGTAGATTCTTGAATAGGTTTTGCCAAAATGGGTTCAAAAATGTCAATAATTAATTAAAAAATACAGTAGCTTTATAATTACTTATAACTTACCTGACCTCTTTCATTTCTGCACTCAGGTGTCTTTTTTTAGAGCGTTTCCTAGGTGGACTACAGGAGTTTACAACTTCATCGGCAGTATCTGTACTACTGGGCATTTTGCGCAAGCAGTTGATAACAATAACAATCAATAACAAGGTATAACAATAACAACGACAAACTCAACAACTTAATAAGATAACAAACGAAAACGTCCAAAGAAATATCAAATTGCAATGATGCACACGACATACGTAACACGTCTGAACCTGAATGTGACTCTGCCTTGATACGACTGCTCTGCCGCTCGGCATAGGCATTTAATTGCGAATTGACCAATGAGGGCTCCTGTTTTACGTCGACACGGCGGCGTTAGCGTGAAAATCACCCGAACCTTTTGTTTACATCCGGTCTATCTCTTATCTGAATAAGAAACCGTGACGCTGACAGGGAACAGTAGAAACCTAGAAATACCCCAGCCTTTCTGAAGGAGAGAAAAGACTATGAAAATCAAGGAGGTCATAAATAATTGTAGGAATGGCTGACGATTCGGCACTTACAGATTCGTGATCCACACTTATTCTAAATGGGAAAAACGCTTAAAGCGAATATGTATGTAAATCTATTTTTGCTAATGTTTTAGTTGTTCTAGGAGGATGAGATCTCAAGTCAAAATTAGCACATTTTTTTCTGTACATTATGTTTTTCTGAATATTTCACATGTTATGTAAAATAAACATATTCAAATAATACATGTATTTTTATTGATCATCAAAGATTTTACTTGAGATAATATATAGAGTTGTGCTACAAAAAGCAAATTCTAGATTGTTGTTTGCTTGTTAATATAGTATAACACACACATCCAGTTATGTGTTGAATGAAACTATGATATTTTATAATTCCAAAGTTTTAGGTTGTTTTGAATATGCATACAATTCTCTTTGTCAGATTTTTAAGAATAAATATAGTCTATCATCCACTCTATTAGCAAGAAAACTGGAAATAAGTCACATCATGACCTACTGTTTAGCAAAATTTTGTTTAGTCAAAAGTCACATGACTTTTACATTCAATATAATTAATGTCGTAAAGTAACATCTTTCATAAAAAATTTTGTTAGTCCAATGAGTAGTCATAGCAACTACTTTTTAGTTGGTGAATATTTGGACATCTGGCCAATGCTGGACAGAATTGATCTTTAAAATATTGAGGCTCTTGTTGACTAGACTATCTCCTCCGACTCGTTTCGTATCGAGGAACGGAAATCTCGTTTCCATCATGGTTGCTATGTAGCGACATCTAGGAATCCTTTTCTTTTCAATCAAGATTGTTTTAATAGGGAAATCTAGTCGAAAGGAAATTATTTAGTCTCCTTCTGGTAGATGTCACCAAAATTTTTCAACTAGACACATCTATCCCTATTTCCCGAGTATCCATCAGTGTTTTGTAGTATCCATTACGTTTTGACGTCTACTGAGATGACCAGCTGATCGCAAAAGCGACATCTTTGTATTAGTCTTTGACGTTGACAACAATGAAGTTCAGATCCGTATTCAGAGATGTTGTTCACTCATCTGGATTATACTTTTGACGAAAATGCGACGATCAAATGTCCGAAGTAATGGTATCAAAATGTTTATTAGAAAATTATTAAAGTACATCTGGGATTTACACGCCACTGCAATCTGCAACGACCGATGCTCTAAAATGAACTGAAACGACTGCACATACGAAAACTAGTTCTCAAATTCTGCCATTTCAGTACATTGTATTGTTAGCCCATTATGTTCGAGTGTTGGTACCTTTTTGTTATGCCACGCGCTTTAAACCACACACCGTCAATAATTTGTCTATTTTCAAGGATATATTATAGCATAAATCTGCTACAATATTATGTAGTGAAGTAACTGTATTGGTCGGCCACGCCAGGCTAGTGCAATTCTAATTCAAGCTGTCGATATCGCAAATTAAATCTTGTGTGTAATTCCCCGAAACCGAATCCAACAGGGTTGCCAGGTCGTTTAGCTCAGTTTCTCCAGTCGAAATGTAACAATCCCCCAAATTCAGGATTCCCCGAAAATACCATTTATTTTTTGTTACCATAGGCTTACGATCCCCAAAAGAAATCACCAGAAAAAAATGTCCCCAAAATTTTCCACATTGAAATGGGAAATCCCCATAAAATGGCAACCCTGGAATCCAAAATAAATTATGTGAGATCGTGAAGTAGAAGGAAACAAAGAAGAAACGTAATCTGAAGTTAGTCTCTCTTTTTGACACAGTCCGGATCGAAAGATAACGATACTCGTGAAACGCATCGATACAGCCAAGTATCGTGTATAAAAATATCGATCCAAAATATCGGGTATCAGAAGCAAAAGAATCGATACTTCTAAATATCGCATCGTATCGAACATCCCAGCAAAATCGTTCGGTCAGTCGGAGGTAGAGATGATCTTAGCAGCGACTTGCAGGTCGCCGGGATACCAGTGACAGCGACCTTAAAGTCGCCGGTAGATTTAGCAGCGATTTAGGTCACTGCTTATCTATGGTGGCTGCCAGCAGCCAGCGATTCCCTGGCGCTGATTAAATTACTCGATATTTGGCGGCGGTTATCCATTGATATTAACGAGGTGTAGATGTTCAGGTTCCTGAAGATATGAATTAAGCTATATTTAAGTTTTTTGTTTTTAACAATATTGAGCACAAAACACATAAAATCATAAAAATACATAAAATATCTTTCCATGAATCTTAAAAAGTTAAACAAAATTCTATTTTACCAGTCTAAATAAAACTTTTAAAACATAACAAATGTAGTATAAAAATGCTTCTTTTATATGTTGAACATTGCTTAATAAACGAAACATTTTTCTATGAAACAGGAACTCACAACAATAACAATAAAAACTAACAAAATAGGTTAGGCTACGCTGTAGCGACCCTGTACTTCCCGCGCCATGATCGCGAACGCGATGTGTATAATATGCTTCCTGGCAGCGACCGCGACCGAAACAGCGTTACAGCTACCGATCAGTGGTTACCGATACCGATACTTCCAAACAGCGATCTGGGTCGCTGCTTCATGGAGAATCAGGTCGCCGGGACTAACGGCGACCATTTAAGTCACCGGGAAAGGTCGCCGGTACCGATATATCGATCATCTCTAGTCGGAGGACAGTTGACAATGAACTACCAGTGCGTGAGGCGCGATAGTCCAGTCGACAATGGCTATAAATATTAGTTGTAAATGCTGTTATAATTGAATGGTAAAAACGGTGTTATCGTTAGAATAACATCTGATTTTAGAAATACTTCACTATTACAATAGTTCGCCAATTGTCGTGTGAAGTAATAGGTAGTGGTTGAAATAAGAGGAAATACACGTAACAGATTATATGCAGCTTTATTCATAAATTTTTTATGGAAATCAGTTATGACAGACAAATATACTTTAAATAATCAGTGCTGTGCTTAGACCAGGATTACTACGTTCCATAGATAAAAATACCTAATTCGGCGATGAAAAAGCCTCTCTTAATATAATTATTCAGTGTTTCTTTATCTGCAATCGCTTCCACTCAGACAATGATGTTTCATATTAATCAGCACTACAACATACATAAACCTTACAACTTGTCGCATTGAAAATGATCCGGTAAAATGAGATCAGCATCATATTTTCTTTAGTTTAGAGTCTGCTCACAATATTCTGATCAGTAGAAGCAACTATACCTACATTTATGAATCTGACTGAGCATGCTTCGTCACATGCTTAGTAAATTTGCTTTTTTCTACCGTTTTATATTCGCAATGTATACATTTATGTATTTTACTAGATACAGAAGCAGTAAACTTAGGATGTTTCTGCAGAATGTGGTTATCTAAATATCGTTGGCTTGTAAATGACATATGACACTTTGTACACGTTAGCTTAGCTCCAGTATGTTTCATCTTATGCCTACATAAATCCCTTGTACATGTAGTTTTATATTGACAATGTGTGCATTCGTGTATCTTATGAGACACTGAAGTAGTAAACCCAGGATGTTTCTTTAAAGTATGATAGTCTAACGACTGTTTCCTCATAAATGACGCGTCACACTTTATACACTTGAGCTTAGCTCCGGTATGTTTCATCATATGCCTATATAAATCCATTTTGAATGTAGTTTTATATGGACAACGTGGACATTCATGTATTTTACGAGACAGGGAAGCAGTAAGCTCATGATGCTTTCGTACAATGTGGTTGTCTAACCCCGTCTTAGTTTTGAGTAACGCATTACATTTTATACACTCAAAGCGCCGTTGAGTATTATGTTTTGCCATGTGTTGTATAAAATCATACCGTCTGGTTTTTTTAAGAGCACAATGCATGCATTCATATATCTTACTAGGAATTGTCCCGCTAAATTTGGGATGTTTCTTTAGGATATGATCAAATAGCGATTGCTTTTTTTTGAACAACGTATTACAATGTTTGCATATGAATAGTTCACGAGCTTTCGCGGCAGCGTGTACTGTACATCCATATATTTTACACGACACTGAGCCAAACAACTTTTTCTCTTCTTCGATCTGTGAAAATTTGTGTTCCCTTTTCCACGTTTTCCTTATTTGTGCGCTGAAAAAAATGTTAATGGTCTTCAATCATATGCATCATACTTTTATTACCAACACAATCTCAAATATGCATTGAATGGTATTAAGAACAAATTAATGTAATGGCTAGATTGATTGTAAAATTTACTGAATACTACAATAAATTTATAAACATCATCTACGCAACAATTTTTGATTTGCAATACGATATTAAAAAAATAATAATAGCAGGCGATAGAAACAAAAAGTGTTTATTTACAATTTTAAGTTTTGATTCAAGAATTGATTCTGCGAATCGATTTGCTTTAAAATGTCGCTGCAGAGTTTCAATCATAAAATGTATTTCAAAGTCTTATCAAAGAAAAAAAATATTTTGTAACCTCAAAAAAATAAACAAACTTTAAGGTAAATTAAATAATGTCGGTAGGGCATTTGTGTTATATCAATAAGCTAAAAAACACTGCACATTCTGACATTCTCGTATACTATTCCTAATCCCAATTCACAAAACTTAGGGTAAGAAAAAAAGTTGCTATACAGGGTGTCCCAACAAAAACGGAACGTCGTTCTCTAGAAAAAATCTAAAACATATTTGAATACGTTTTTGCAGCCTTATTGATATCGCACATGTATATATTTCTAAATGATTAGGAAATATACAGGGTGTTGCAGAATTCTGCGTCACAGCAAAGATGTTTTTTTAATGGATCACCTTATATTTTATTAAGCATTTGGAAATGCCTTTCCCAATCAGGAAGATTGATATAATATATAATATACAGTCTTTTGAACGTCATTTGTTTGGTTATTTTAGCATTTCTCTGATAAAAGACCCACGGCTCTAGGCTTTGACCTTCGCCATTTTGCGTAGTTTTTCGTTGAATTTTAGTACGCCGAAAGTGCCGATAACATGATTTGTTTATAAAGGATGTTGCAAGGCGCAAAATGTTTTTCTCAAACCTTTCAATTCGAACGCCCTGTATATTTTACACCGCCAGATTCGCATTTTAAAAGCTTTCGTTGATGTAATGTTTATACTACTTTATTTGAACGGTTATCTGGTTATTTCTATAAATTCGTATAAATATCACTTTTATATGCTTTTTATTGCGTTAATATTA